AGCTGTCTGGTCATTTCAGAGACCTTATTACATTTTACAGCTAATGTTTGTGAACGTTTATAATGGGTAAATCACAGGCACATTGTGTCCTATATGTGTCCAATATTTGAACTCTCAGCAGCATTACCATCATATCCATAATGTATAGCTAGCTAGCTAACTGCCAGGTCGTACTCCTGAGGAGAGGCCCTGCAAGCTCCCATTATGAGTCTATTTGTAGAACAGAACAGGGCTGCCAACTCTCACGCATTTTTATGTCTCTCCTCAAAACGACCTACCGATTAACCAGAAGGCTCATAAAATGCCCCATCCCTCCAGCATTACTGATAAAAGACACAAGAGGGAGATCAGGTTAGCTAGTCAGTCACTACTGGCACAATTCGTGCTGCAAAATGACCGTGGTTGTGTCTTACTAACAATCTCAACAGTTGTAACTAAACAGCTGTGGCCACTAGTTAACGGTTACATGCTCTTTTTAACTGGTCTATATTCTATATTCTCTGTAATTGAACTGTATTCTGTTCTCATTAGAGTAGGCTGACTAGTTCAGTGGAGAGGTAACAACAAACTTACCAGCTTTCAGTCTTTCGCATTTGAGGGCAAAACTCTGCATCAAGTTAATTTGACTTAATATGACAGAACAAGTAAGTTGAGCAAATATTGTATTTGAATATATTATATTTTACTTAAACACAATGGTTTTATTTAAAATTTATATATGCAGTGTTGATTTGAAACAGGTCAGATTTGAGCATGGGTAAAATTTGAGATGGCGTTTCAGTGGCTGGATCATTTAAAAGTGTCTGCATCTTTTAAAAAATCAAATGTTGTGGACTTGAATAAAAAGTTTCTGTGTTAAACATTTCTATGTAAAGGCATTCATATCTACTAACAAAACATGCATCTAGAACCTACAATAGTGAGCATAAAGAGCACATAGGATCAATGTGCAACTAGGACACAAAAAAAAAACACAAACGACCTAACGGCAGACCCCTAACCTAATTTTAGCGGGCTGGGCTAGGTCTGTTTGGGGGTGAGGTTGTAGGTGTGGCTACAAAGGTGGGTGAGTGGGAACGCTTCAACCCCATGCCACCCAGCCTCGTGGCGACAACCTCACCAAACGGGCCTAGCCCAGCCTGCTGAAATCTCACTCTAACAAACGTAAAATTTCCCATGTGCTTATTGTGCACTACACTTGTAAAGTACAGTTAAACACTATGAGCCTTGATATTGGGGGAGTGTTGATAATGCAACGCTAAGCTAACTTGTCGTTTTATTGCTATGGTTGAGGTGGAGCAGCTTTAAAGTCACTATGATAAACATGTTGGCATATCATCTTCTGAACAGAAAAACTTTGTATAGACCACAACAAATCATCATCGTCTACCACTGCTCTAAGTAGTCCCATTTAGAAAAAAATTATATTCCAAATGTTTTTACCAAATATTATGTTAAATATATTTTTAAAATGCATTTATTTGTATACATGAACTGGATGAATTGTACTGACTTCTGTGTTATGCATTATCCGTGTATGTATGCAGTAAGACACTCACACAAAATGTATTTCAAGTAAACAAGATATCAAGTCATAACTGCATTTTGACAGTGTATCAATACCTACAACACTTGATTTTGCCATGTTAAAGGTCTACTTGCTAATATTTAAAATCAAGAAAGCAGAAAACAAATTTATTTTAAAAGGTATTCCAAATAATAACATACACAAGTATTTTGGCTAATATCATACATTTTTATATATTTATTTTTGTATGCTACATTTCTACGTGTAATATTTCCCCATTAATTTTAAAATAAATATGTTTAAAAACATATTTGATAAATATGACAGTATATCCTGAAATACATTTTAGTGTTTAGAATGTATTTCAGCATGGACTGCAATGAATTTGAAATGTATTTTAAATATATAACAATGCATGTCCATATTTTTTCCATGTGGGATTCTAGTGCTTTAGCTCATTACATTTGAGATAGTCTCTGTTACTCAAGCACAGCGACCAAAAGGTTTTTCTTTGGTTATTTTTTAAAACATAAGCCTATTTTACTTCTGTGCGCTGCAATTATTGTTTGTGGTTTTAGCCTGCTAGCACCAGTGAACAAGTTTGTGTATTGTGATGGTTTATATCAGACCTGTTGATTTTCCTTCCTAGCGGTGATCTAAATACCTGTTCATTAACTGTTACAGATACTCGAATATCACCATGAGTCAGAATACGCAGCATTTAACCACCGGGACTATCAACACCACTATAGAGTAATATGTCAAACAAACTAAATGTGAACTTAACACACACAAATAAGTCAACTGTTTCAGAATTCACAAGCTCAGTGCTCTGATGCATGCAGCAGCTTTGGCCTGCCTTTCGATAGTGTTAAATCACTTAGTGAACCTTTACTTGCAAAGTTTCAGAGACTTATATCGTAAACATCATAGCTATGCATGCAGTATCTGTGTCAGTAAATACAAGATGATTCATAAAAATGTATGTATTCTGTCTTAGTTCTGTCTTTGTCCTTTTCCTCCCTTCTTGTTTACCTTCCCTCATTATAGATCACAATATATGGAGGCAGGATGTGAGTGCACATTTATTACGGACAAAGAAAACATTGGACAAGAAAACAAGGAACAAACTAACAGCGTACTTAACTCACAAGAAGACTCAGACGAGACCTGACAAAGGAACACTAAACCGAGACGGCTACTTATAGGAATGACAAGACTAGAAACACCTGGGCTGAACTTCACACAGGTGGGGACAGTGATTAAAGGAGGTGGGGACAAGTGCGGATACATATGCAGAGCAAAAAACTAAACAAAAACAGAAAGCACATTGACAAGAGACATGAGGGAAAGTAATCAAGAAGGGAAAACAATGAAAGGACAGAACTAAGAAACAGGATACATTACAATAAGAGAAATTTTGTTTTGGTCTTAAGGCAGATTTCTGGTTGTGTTTGTGACAACAGATCGTCTAGCAATATCCATCAGTCATGAAATTTATGGATAAATACTTGAGCTACCACGGGGCATTGCTTAACTCAGTGAGACAGGAGATGTACCCTCTCAGTAATGAAATGGTGCCAAAACACTCTTTTGAACGGTCACTCATGTAACTCTGGAGAGAACAGTTAGAACATGTCCTTTTATAATGGGCCAGATCAAGACTTGAAATAGTGCTCAAGGTTACTGTTTGATGCAGCCTCTCCCTGATCTCAAGTCCCTTCCTGTGATTTAAGACTATATTTCTCATTCAAAACACACTATGCACATTTTAATATACACTATATGGCCAAAAGTATGTTTGCAACTGACTATCACACCTACATGACTTTGCTGGATGTCCCATTCCAAAACTATGGACATTAACACGGAGTGGACCACTGCCCCAACAGCACCCCCCCCCAGAATGCACCCCCCCCAGACTTGTGGCAAAGGTTACATGCTATGACAATGCCAAGTTTAAAGTCACTTAGCTCTTCAGTATGACCCATTCCACTGCCAGGGTTTGTCTATGGATATTGCATGGCTATGTGCTGTTGTTATACACCTGCTAGTAATGGATGTGGCTAAAACACCTGAACTCCAATTAGGAGGGGTGTTCACATACTTTTGGCCATGCAGTGAATAATGACAATGTTATTTTCTGTTGCTATAACAGTTTCTGTTAATTGTAGCTATCAAAGAATAGTGGGTCTAAATGTTTCTATTAATTCTAGCTAGCAGGATAAAGAGATTTAAGTAAAGAAACCACCGTAATCATTTTGGAGGCTCTAACTTTGGGAATTGCCTGACATGCAAAAGTTGAACTCACTAAATATAACATGCTATAATTGGAGACAGGCAGTCACAGATCAAGCAGCTTAGAGGATGCCTGCCTGAAACCATCAAACAGATGCTCATTAATAAGTGTGCACCACTGCACAGGGTTGATTACAGAGAACCTGTACATGAGGTCTGTCTTGAATTTGAAGTTACATAGCAAAACGTTGTTTAAAAATGTCATATATATATATACATATATATATATATACACTGATCAGGCATAACATTATGACCACCTCCTTGTTTCTACGCTCATTGTCCATTTTATCAGCTCCACTTACTATATAGGTGGACTGTGTAGATCTACAATTACAGACTGTAGTCCATCTGTTTCTCTGCATACTTTGTTAGCCCCCTTTTACCCTGTTCTTCAGTGGTCAGGATTCTCATGGACCCTCACAGAGCAGGTACTATTTAGGTGGTGGTGTGTTAGTGTGTGTTGTGCTGGTATGAGTGGATCAGACAGCAGTGCTGCTGGAGTTTTTGAACACCTCAGTGTCACTGCTGGACTGAGAGTAGTCCATTAACCAAAAATATCCCGCCAACAGCATCCTGTGGGCAGCATCCTGTGACCACTGATGAATGACTAGAGGATGACCAACACAAACTGTGCAGCAGCAGATGAGCTATCGTCTCTGACTTTACATCTACAAGGGGGACTGACAAGGTAGGTGTGTCTAATAGAGTGGACGGTGAGTGGACACAGTATTTAAAAACTCCAGCGGCACTGCTGTGTCTGATGCTCCCTGAAAACAGCTGAAAAGAGGGAAGTGGTGTATTTTCCTGTGGTGGACTTGTGAGACTGAACCACGCCTTTTGGCGGTGTCGCTCGCCACTGCCACTAGAGATGGATTGTTTACGTTGCCTGGGAGACACTGCTGTCAATCATTGTGTGAACTGACATATCCACATAGGCAGCAGCTCTAAGTTTTTGAAGCATTTACCTACTATCAAAATGTTTAGAGATTAAGGAAACATGCTAAGCTGAAATACTGGCTTCTCCAACAATAATGCTACAGCCAGTATGTTCTCCTTTGAAATTTAATTCCAGAGCAAGTCTGTATGTGTTTTTGCCTGTGATCCCACCCACTGCCCATTTCCCAGTACTGTTTCGACACACAACCCCGGGTCGCCAGATATGAAACACATTGGCAGGCAAACACAGCATGCTGCAGCCATGAAAGCAAGTAAACAAACTGGATTTCGACCTAAAAAGCTCCATGACCAAAGCGGACGAATAGGCTGAGGCACCAGAATGAAGGTGCTGCACCATTTAAGGTGGAACAGGAAAATCTGAACAAGAAGCTGGCGAATAAGAAGCTGACTACAGCTTTTTCAAGGTAGCAAGTATTTTCAAAGCAGTGGACTTTTGTTTTTGGGATAACAGGCTTAGCTTTGGCTACCATACATAGCCAGCCATGACTCTAACTAACATTGACAGAGGTATAAAAAAATCCACATGAGCTGGTTTCTAATTTGCCAACAATCAAAACATTGCAAACACATACACTGGCTGATCAACTAACAGTGTAGGACTCGTTGCTGCTTGCTGTTGGCAAAGTTTAATGTTGCGCTCATTCGTGTAGATTCAGTGTCCTCAACCTGGCAACCCCTGTGTGCTTCAAGTCTGGGGAGGAGGGGGTGGGAGCAGACAACTCTCTCCAATATTTTGAATCTGGACTGCAAAACCCATTTTAAATGCTTTCTGTCAGTATTTCATATTGCTTCTTTAATGTAAAGAGAAACCTGTTTACTTATCTGCACTTGGTGCAGTGCCATGCTTAAAGCATTGTTAGAAATATGGGTTTTTGTGCTGCCGCTGTACATAAAGATCTCTCGTTCTGCCTCTCTTTCTTGTAGCTGAAGCAATGGAGGGAGGGAAGAGTGATCTTGCTGTCACCCTTTCACGTCACTTAAACAACAGGCACTCAGGCTAACTCAGGAGGGACTGCCAGCGGAACTGGCTCTTTGAGCCCACTCTGTCTCCAAATTGTATCCTGCCCTCTTCACCCACAAGTCCCTGCAAACAAAACAGCGCACCAGAAGGCAAATGCAGAGAATCTGGAGGTTGCCGCACACTCTCCTGTCCATGCTGAGAAGGGCCGCAATTATACCTGCGCTGGAGAGAACAGGCTGCAGTGCCATCAGGACTCCTGCTGAGGCCTCTTGTGTATTTTCTCTCGTTGAATCTTTCTAAATGTCTTCCTGTTTCTTCTCTCTCACCCACTTTTCTCTATTCTACCTCTATCCTCATTTTGATGTCTCTCTGTAGGTCCCCAGTGAAGGGAGGAGTAGGATTAGCTTACCCACACTCCTTCTCTCGCTCCCACTCTCGTTCTCACACTGTGCTAATCCCTCAGGTGTTCCTCTAAGCCTGCAATGCCTGCTACTCATTAGCTACCATTCCACTCTCACAACCAACATTTCACGCTCCATAAGCTGCAAGTTGTTTTCCATTGCTATTAACTATACTTTTGGAGCTAAATACTCCCAAAGGCATGTTTTCTGCCATGCTGATTCCATAATTTGTTTGATGCCTAGGAATACACTTTTAAAAATAAAGGTGCATAATAGGGTTATTTGGGGTGATGCCATAAAAGAACCACTTTTAATGAATGGTTACACAACAGCTCCTTACCGATTAAAGATTATTTACTAGAACTGTACCTCTGAAGCAAGAATCATTTATGAAATTTTACTTTTAAAGGCCCTTACAGGCATCTTACATTTTTCTTGCATTGTATTTACATCCTCCTGTCGTCCTCTGATTTTATACCACACAAATGTGTTTAATACCAATACATTCCTAACTCATTTTTAAATGACAAATTTTTCACATTGCTATCTTTGTAACAAGTTAGTTTGTGAAATTTCTGTCCAGCTTGATCTGTCCTGGTCAACTGTAAGTACAGTTATTGTAAAATGGAAGCATCTAGGCGCAACAACAGCTCAGCCACAAAGTAGAGACAATGTAAACTTGGGGAGTGGGGTTGTCGAGTGCTGAAGTGTGTAGTGTGCACTGGTGTAGAGGAGGAGCACCCAGGGTATAAATAACAATACAATTTTTTTTAAATCCTAAGAGCAGCCCTGACGTTAGACACTGGTCTAAAAACTGTGTTACAAAAACAATAAAAAAAAACATCAAATTGTGTCTTTTGCCCCAGAAAATGCAGAGCCAACCCAGGAAAGAAGAATTTAATGCCAAAAATCTTGTCTTTTATCTCTAATATGCATGCTGTGAGTGTTAGCTAGGAGGGCAAGGATGTAGGAGATAGAATAGGGACTCATGAGGCTACATCTGCGGCAGCTGGCATTCGCACCTCAGTCATGCTACCTTACCCTGCCTACAGTGACTTACCAGCTGCCGATGTCCCCTGGCAGGCAAGTGACGATGTGCTAAATGAGTCTAAGCATTAGATGTTATTTACAAGGATGATCTTTCACCTGAGTTTCCATCACAGTTACTTTCCTTCCGAAATGCTCTCAGATCAGAGATAAACACTGTGAGCACAATTAAGGGTCTGACTGGGCTTTGCCCCCGAGGCATTCCTCAATTCTGTATAGTGTGACAGACGTGGCTACTGCTGTTCTGGAAGCAACATCAGCACAAGGACTGTTCACTGGGAGCATCATGAAAGGAGTGCCCATGGTCAAGCAACTAGACACAGGCCAAAGATCACTAGGTGCAATGCCAAGCGACAGCTGGAGTGGTGTAAAGCACACTGGCACTGGACTCTGGAGCAGGGAAAGTTCTCTCCGGTGATGAATCACACTTCGCCATCTGACAGTCTCATGGATGAATCTGAGTTTGGCTGATGCCAGGAGAACGCTTCCTACCGGAATGCATAGTGCTAGCAGTAATGTTTGGTGAAAGTGGGAAAATTGTCTGGGGTTAATTTTTTAGGGTTTGGACCCCTTAATTGGCGTAGGGTACAAAGCATACAAAGACATTTTAAACCATTATATGCCTCCAACTTTGTCACAACAGTTTGGGGAAGGCCCTTTTCTCTTCCAGCATGACTGTGCCCCTGTGCACAAAGCAAGGTCCGTGAAGATGTCCAGTTTGTCAAGTCTTGCTTGTCCAACATCAGTGCCTGACTTCACAATACATATGCCTTTTTGACTGAATAGGCACATACCCACAGACACACTCCAAAATCTTCTGGAAAGCCTTCCCAGCAGAGTGGGGGCAGTTATAGCTGCACATTTTTCAAAACAGTTCAGTGTGGAGACTTGCTTTCGGTTTTTCAAAAAAACACCTGCAGGGGTATTTTTCCACACTTTCAAAGTTCAGTTTTAGAAGTTGGTTGCATTTTCTGCTTTTCACATTCCAAGCAATACCAAACACATTCAATGGTCTCTCAAAGATGAAAGCTTTAAGTACTGTTTAACAGATAGTGACAGTTTGGTGGTCTATTACGTCGTGCACAGTTGTTTGGAGTCCCATTTTTACATCTTTTAATAATTTTTTTAGCTTAAATGTTGGAAACTAATTTCCTTTCCCCTTCCTTATACAAGAAGATTATCTTATATCTATATCTATCTGTATCTCTATCTGTATCGAACATTGCTTTTCACATAGTACAGCACCACACTTTAAGTGGCACTGGAAGTGAACTTCAATTATGCTGTACGCTTCATGAACTGTACACTGTGCAAGCTGAAACAATGACATGTGTAGATCATTCAGCAAGAGCTTATTGTGGACCACACTCAGCAGCAGAAGCAAAATGAAGTCCTTTTAAAACTGTTGTTATTGTTCTTGTATTCTGCACTTCCGCGCTAATGGGAATTGGGACGAGTGTGCATATCTTAATTGTGAGCTCTCGTAATGAATGCTGAGTGCCATTAACTCTCTTGAGCTCTTCTGTTATTCGGAGAATTGAAATATGAGAATACTATTACACCAAATAGACTAGACCAGCAACACTCAATCATGATTCCGCACAGAATTTGGTGCAGAATATATTTTCCTCCCTGGGGAAAGAAATGAAAATAAATGTACATTTCTACCTTATTAATCCTCGCATCTGCAAATCATTACAATGCAATAAGCACATATCCCAAATCTGACAGCAACTGTACCAATGTGTGTGTATCCGACATGACGCCTTTTGAGGGGAAAAGTTCATGAGCATTAATCTAAGTCAAAATTTTAATGGACTGATATGCATTTCCAATAATGATATTTTTTCCCAGACAGATAGTTAGACTGCATAAGATAGACAGCGCTATTTTCACAAAATGGCCCATGGATTAACATTAAGCTGGAGTCCATATAATTATGCCAAAACAGACTGAGACTTCTCTTTGCTTCTTTTAGCTCAGAGAAGAAACCTAATCAGATTTATCGCAGGCTAGCTCTATAATTATTTACTCCATTAGCCATTAGTGGCCCACACAAAGTGCACTGGCTCGCAAAATTAGAATCCTTATCTGAATGTTCCAGAAACTTCACTGTATCCTCCAACGGAATGTGTAAATTTAATGGGATGTGCCGACCGCAGGGTTTTTTAAGGAGACGTTAAGGACATTTCAATATCATATATAGCACTGTCCAAAGATTTAGGTGCTTGTTTACGTCCATGCATGCCATCAGTGTGGAAAACAACAATAATTCATTAATATAAAATAAGGCTTCCTTATGTGAAATATTCAGTTAATGTTCTATGGTAAGAAACCATAAACATGCATCCAACATTTGACTAACGTGGTTAACCACATGCGGAACTACTGCATATAGCACACTTTGCCTCTATTTTTCTCAGCCAAGATGTTTAACCCTCAATTTAAAAAAAAAAACAAAATTCAAGAAACATGATTTACTCAATTTTTGATTAGTGTTGATTGTTTTTAGTCCAGAAATTTTTATACATTTCTCATCTCTATAAAGTTCAGAAAGTTTTTGTATTTAGAGATTACATAACTGTAAAGGTAAGACATTCACATTTTCCACAACTCTAAAACTTACACATAAAAGGGCAGAGATATGCTTGTATTGCTTTGCCTTTATTACAGCTTCCATTCTTTTCTAGAAACTTGCTTTCAGTTTTTCAAAGTAAGTTGTAGAGATATTTTTCCACAGTCTTAGAAGTTGGTTGCATTTTCTGTTTTTTTATGATCCAAGTTTGTAGTTTTTTTTTTTGCAATTTAAAATACACACAAATAAACAAAGATGCCATAATATACAGTGCAGGGAAAGGCAAAGAACCAGTGAGCTTATATAAAGCCTCCTCCTAAATAATACTAAAATTTCACAATATTATGGAAAATACAAAATAATTTACAAAACATAATAATGAAATAAACATCAAATAACCTAAATGTCGGCATAACACAAAAAACAAAAACATTGTGAATGTGTATGTGTGTGTTGTGTTTGTGCACAACGGTGTCCCTGAGTGTATGTTTATACATATATACGAAATTCCTAACACATTTACTGATGTTGAAGTCTGGACACTGGGGTGGTTCTGTTCTGAGAACACCAGCAGCAGATTAGCAAGCAAAAAGTGAAAATAAGTGATTTTTTTTCCATTTAATGTTTTCAGAAATTACTATTATTCAGATTATTTGACTGCAAAAAGTATAGAATTCTATTGATATTTCAACCCCTTCATTTAAATTTGATCTTTGTAAGTGACTGAACAACATTACTAAAGAGCCAAATGTTACCCAGTTCAGCATGTATTCTTGTTTTCATTGAATTTCCATACAAAATGATCATTTTGCCAAGTGACTGAGTAGAAGTCTGTCTCATTACTTTGGCTAGCTTCATTGGTCACTGGTCATCAGAAATGTAATGCAGTGTTTTTACCTGAGCTTTTTATTGCTTTTTTCCCCTCAGGTTGCTCATAGTGAAGTACTTGAAGATGCGTTCAGGACTCCTGACACCACTGCTGGGCACTCTTAAGTGCATCTCCTTACTATGCCTCAAGTCTTTCCACTAAATATAGCTATTTCATGTCAGTTTATTGTTGGTCTTTCACTGCTATTATATATGACCATGAAGCCCTTTTTGTATTCAACTATATTTTGACGTAGTGCTCTTAAAATCTTCCAGTCAGTTTAAGCCCTGAAGGCCCAGATTACTCTGGAATAGGGTTAGGACGTGCCGTGCCTACGCACTTTGTCTTTTTTCGTTGCGGTACTTGAGCGCGGATAAAGACTAGTCATGAGTGCTTTCAGACTGTAGCCATGGGCGAATCTGTTGAGTACTCTAGCATCTGCCCTTTGGGATCGTAAATGAAGGCTACGAAATAAGGAGCGTGATGTGAGTGGGCTTTCGACCCACACTGTAGACATTACATTTAATATCAGCAGCTGGTGCCCTTGAAACATGAAGGAATGCCATATATTCTTTATCATGTATATCTGACCTAATTGACACTAGAGGTTGACATAAAGGAATATAAATGAATATATACTGGTGTAATTCAAGGACTTAAGTACCAGCCTTGACAGAATAAATACATTTTGTGTTGTGTATTAGTTTGTTGGTGAACAACGGGTTAAAAAAGGCTTGAGCAGAGGAGTAGGGAACTTAAGAGAAAACGCCTTTAGAGGAAAAGGAAAAAATAGGGAGCACATGAAGTATGATAGTGTGTATGATTTTATATATATATATATAACATATATATAAATATATATATATATATATATATAT